GGCGTGCGTTCCCGCCGGGGGGCTGCCGGTGCGGGGCAGCGAGCAGGCAGGGCTGGGCTGGCCGCTCTGACGGGGCGAATGCCTTCACGGGACATGAGCCGAGCTCTCCAGCACCACATCTCTGCCTTCATCCTTCCCCTATGACAGCTTTGCGTCACTGCGGGCATTCGGCTGAGGTGGCTCTTTAGGTTCTCTTCCATTTCGTAGTTGTTCCAACCTATTTCTCCAAAGTCAGTTGCAGACGATGCTTCTCAGTTAACCTTGATGGTCTCTCAGCGCCTGTGTTCTTTCAAGAAAGAAGAGATTGCTCAGGAGCTGGGATCAGCTCCATGGTACCACCCCTCTGCTTGCTCTAGGATGCGACCATTAAGGTGGCCTAGCTGACGGTGGTAAACCTCCCTCCATGGACCATTAGTTGGTGTATAACTGTGGATCCAAGGGCAACCTGGCACCTTGTTTGCTAAATAAAGGCACAATTAATACCAGCCCTCCCTGTTAACCAAAAATTCTCCTCAGGCCCCAAATTATTCCTATTCCCCAAAGTACAGCCAGTCATGAGCCTCTCTGACTCTTGGGGATGTCTACACTTTGTCTGTAAGACCCCATGCATAAGAAAGATTGTGGCCCAGTGATCTGAGGGTCCCTCTGAAGTCAACACAGGGTGCTCAAGAGGGAGGTTGAGAAAGAGTGGTTTGGAGGAGACCACCAAGCGCCTTCGTGCAGCCCAAGCACCTGCTGTGGGCACCTCTGCGGAGACCTCGAGCGGCGTGGGTGGTGTGACTGCTCCTCGTTCTGCTGATCAACAAGCTGGCAGAAATGACATCGGTTAGTGACTCGGGGAACCCAAACCGTTGGATTTTTGTGCTGCGGCTTTGCAGCATTCCTTTTGATGCGTGAACTTTGAAGACCCTTGAAGGAAAATTGTTTTCTTGTGGCTTTTCATTACACCATTTCTGTTTATGGACAACAGAGCAGAAGGTCAGATACATCAAACCAGGCTTGCCAATCCTACGAGTGTCAATGAAGCTCATGTTTTACAGAAATCCTGAGAACTGCCAGCTTCCTCTGAAGTCGATTCTATCATCCAGGAGTCCGTGGTAAGTATGGTAAGTATGATAAGTATGATAAATTTGAAGTGAAAAGTCCCATCTGTTCTGTAATTCAGTGCTTTATCAAAATGGATGTAATCATAGCTTGACCTATGAAATTACAGGGATTTTCATTTTTGAGAGAGCAAGAGATGGAAAATTAAAAAGTGGTCCTTCCTATTCTTCAGAAATTTTAATGAATTCAAGTACTTCAGCTGAGACTTACCTAATAGTTTGGGTGGGAGGGAAAAAATTACTAATAGGTCAAGCTCACTTTTCTCTTTCTCAGTTTCTGAAATAAATTGACTGCTTTCTTTGACCTGCAATACCTGGACATTACACTATGGGCTTTTCAGGAAGCGAGCAGATTTCACGGCTAATGAGCAAAACTGATTCCTAGGGAGACTTTCTGAGTTCATTTTTTCACATGGAGAGGAGAGAAATGGCTCAAATAGGCAACCAAGAGCTGCATCTTGACCTGGAAGCAGCTGAAGCTCCTGCCTTTGTGCTGCCTGGTCCCGGCCCTAGGCATGCATTAAAGAGTGGTAAAATGTCCTTTGTGCACAAATGAAAAAACCTCTCAATTATACCAAAGCCTGCCTCTGCCTCAGACGTAGAAGAAAATGTTTTTTAAAGATATTGGTAGCTTTATATCTATGAGTTACTTTGCAAATAGGTATGTGTGAGAGAGAGAGTGGGTACAAGGTGCGTATGTTGAGTATCCCTGCTCTGTCCATGCTCAGGGCACAGATCCCACCCTCCTGTTACACTTAGACCATGTGATTTCTAACAACTAGTGTGAATATTTTTGTTCATGACCATGAAACATCATTAGACCCAAAGTAACCCAAATAGGAGCAGATTTTTCCTCTGGAAGTGGCAGAGAAAGGCATTTTTAGAGTTCTTATACAGACATTTCCCTAATTGAGTTTAGGAACCGGATTAAATGCGCTTGTTGTGGCTAGAATCTCAACAGTAATGGAAAACTATTTGGGAAGCAATTGCCTGTGAAACATACCGCCAAGAACTGCTTTTTCAATGGGCTTAATATGGTACATCCTGTCTGATGATCCTTGTGAAATGTTTAGTTGAATTTCATGATGATGTTTTGATTTCCAGAAAAAAGTCCAATAGTTTTATGATAAGACACGTTGGCTGCTACATGGTTATCAAGTGCTTCGTATACCATCAACAAAGAGCTAATGTGCTGTGGGAAAATGGCAAATTATATGTGACCGCATAAGATTTTGTGCAGAATGCAGATCTGCATTGTTCAAGTATACACAATTTCAGAACACTTGACATGAAATGAATGCATCTGGCGTTGTTCTTCAATGGCCTTATGCTATAATTATATGCTATATGCTTAAACCTAGAGCCTGATTCTCATATATATTGAGATCTCTTTTCATCCCTTTACCAGAGATCTACAAATACAGAGACAGCCCCAGAACAGTTAATTTATATAATTTCAAAAAATTAGGGATGAGATGCAGTCTACCTAAGCACAGTAATCCTGTCTGTAAATATTCTGGACCTCAGCTCCGATTTCTAGCGTGACAAGAACACTGGAAATGTTCTTATTCAAAGACACGACTTTATAAATATTGAAAAGAGAGACCATGACTGAAGACCTCTTAAATTTTTCATAGGTATGTGATTCCAGGGGAAATAGAATTATTTCGATCACAGATGAGGAGTCTTTGTAACACAGTGATTAATTTTGACACCGTAAGATTATTTATTGGCAAAGCATCCAAGTAGTATTGGAAAAATTAGCAGAACTCACAACAGCATCCTGATTTTGTAATTAAGTATGGCCAGGTTAGTGAATCACTCTTTCACCTGTATTTTAAATTTTATATTGCAAGTTTGTCATCTTTAATCTTCCACTTTAATGAAGGTTTACATTTTCAGAGCATATGCTTGTACATATTGATGCATGTGAAGCATATGTGATCATTATGCACATCTCTCCCTCTTTCCCCTCCCCTCCATCCATAAAGAGCGAGAGATTATTATTCTACTTGTGAAGCCCAACATTATAGGTTCAATTATATTGTGCTCACAGGCAGGCGAGAAGGGGAGCAGCGAGATCCACATGCCACAGGAATGAATGCCCTTTCCTGGGCAGGCCAGGCAGGTAAGAGCTGGAAATGCAATGTTGGTCTTTGGTTCTCATTTTGAAAAGAAAAGTTAGGTGTTTCCCCACTCTTCTGATCTTTGTCATCTTTTATGCTCCCATTGCTGTTCTCCATCCCACCAAGTATCACTTGCATCTTACCTGGAGTGGGCTTCTTTAACCTTGATTTGAGGTCCATTTTTGGCCACACTAATTTAGGCATACAGGACCAAGTGAAATGAAAATAAAT